CGCGGTTTTGGTTGCCAGATGTTAGAAAATCAAATGCAATAATCGAGTTCGGAGACGTTACGTAAAATATTTAACCCACCTTCACCAAATCTGCACCGAAATTGAAGAGATTGGTATGTAGAAGTGCAATACGGTTTTATTTTTCAGAAAGGGTTGCCACATATTAGAAATTAAATTCAAATCGGCTGTAGTGTACCAATTCTATAAGAAAAAAGTGGGACGTAAATCATATTCGTCTTAAATAAGCGTCCCAGAGGGAAAAAAAATAAAAGGCCTATGTAATTATTCTGAGTAGACGTAAATAATATTCGTCTTGAAATAAACGTCCCGAGAGACGAAAAAAAAATAAAAAGCCTATATAATTATTATGAGAAGACGTAAATCATATTCGTCTTGAAATAAGCGTCCCGAGAGACGAAAAAATAAAAGGCTATATAATTTTATGAGAAGACGTAAATAATATTCGTCTTGAAATAATGTTCCGCGAGAAAGATATTCTCGTAAATAATTATTATACAAAGACGAAAAAATAATTTCTTAAAACAAGGAGACGTTTTATCCTAAATATTAGGATAATAATTATTTCCGGCCTCTGTCAGCAATTTCATATGTACATATTATATAACAACGGTGGGCAATCGCGGCTCTTTGAGCCAAATCCGGCTCTTTGCTTAGCAAAGTGCGGCTCTTTCTACTTCCTCTTTGCTTAGGACAGTTTGGCTGCTTTTACTTTTTAAAATACACTTTTTTTTTCTTTGCTGGACATTCTTTTCCATTGTGTTTTTATTTTATTCTTTTTATATACACATACGCAAATTGAGATCGGAACATTACTCCCAATTGGAGAGTGGAAATTGGCTTTCTGACTTAATGTTCTTTATCGATATGATGGAACATTTCAAAACTTGAATTTGTCTCTACAAGGAGAGAATAAAAATGTTTTTGATTTGCGCAAAATATTTTATGTTTTGAAACTAAACTACGTCTTTTTATTCATGATCTCCAAAAAGTAATACCTATATCATCATTTTCCATGGCTAGAAAAAATATTACCAAATGGAAGCCTTAGGTATCTATATCGGCCCCATGGTGTTGAAAATCTTAGATAATTTGATGTCCTTTCAGACACTTTTATTTGCCAGAATCCCTTTTGGCATCCAATTTTGTAAAAGCTCACTACCTGAAACTTTTGCTGCAATCTCTTCGACGGTCTTCATTGAAAATGACGGCGCCTTATATTCTTGTTTAACTCCGTAGGGTCCATACCAGGGTTGTTACGAATATTCGCATTCGCAATAACAATGCGGAGCTTTTCGAATGCGAATGTTGTGCAAGTGCACCGATAAAACGTATATCTGGCAAACAAAATGACAATTTGTAGGTATATTTTTTGCCTTTGGTCGTGGCGAACTTTGATAAAAATGTCTTTAAACATATTATTTCTTAAGCTATATAACCGAGCTATCAATGGGCAGTCATACAAGTTCCCACTTCTACTTGACCTTTGACGTACGTCAAAAGAACATAGTCCTTTTAATAATATTTTATCCCGTTTTCTGTCCTTTAAATACCTGAATTTTGATTTGCTTTTGATGTTACACACCTCACCTTAATTCACAAAGGCCCTAACAGCAAATTTGTTATTTTACAGGAAAGCAAACAGCATTACAAAAATCAAATCACTCATACGGATAGGGCATTTTAAAAAGTGCATAACTCCGTTGGTTTTGGTACTAACACTCAAATTTTATATACTGTGATTCCAGTATTTTAATTCCTACCATAAAGCGTGACGCAGTTTCGAAAAAAGTGTTGGTTATGTGCCTTTGTGAATTAAAGTAACGATAATTCGTTTTAATCATTTCAAATAGGGCTCTCTGGGAAATTTATTTTTAGCAAAAATTAAAAAACATTTCATAGAGATATACATTGGATCCTTGGCTAAAAACTTCTGTGGTAGAACTCTCCCCCTACGTATTCCTTCTTGCTATTTAAAGTCAAAGAGTAAGCTCCTTCAATAGGGATTTCCAGCAGCAATGGTCAACGTCTGGCTATAAAGAGAAAAGGCTATTGGTCTGACCTTTAATTAGGTAAGAATTACGTAACTATCTGAGACCCTCATCATCTGTGATTCCAATAATTCAAATGCTTATAAAACACGGGGTGTAAAAAATAAAACAATATTTTGATCCGATTCGGCTGACACGACTTTGGAAACAGAATTTTGTTCAAAATTTTATTCATGCAAAATATTAATTTATTTTCCATATCCACATATTTAGCTCGCTATAAGCACAAATTTTTCAAACCAGTCGCAGAAGAAATAGTAAAACATCTATTACAAAATCTAAATTCAAAAAAATGCTGATGGCTTACAGGTTCCCCAAATTCTGAAACAGCCAAAGGAATAAGAATGAAGAATTCTTTTTAAAAACTTTAGAAAAACTGAGCATATGGTTTGGCATGAAGCGTTGTTTAAACAAAGATCTCGCCATTATGCTAGTTTCTTCAAGTCAAGATGAAAGTCCGGAGGATACATCCGAAATTTTCGGCCCCGATGCAATTCTCATTACTTTTTATTACATATAATGTTCCAATTTTTAAACTCAAGTACTAAATAAAGTAAAATTATTAAAAATTACTTTCTTCTCTTCTTACTTAATTTACTTGCCTAATTGTTTCTTAAAAATACTTGACATCCGCG